TATATTACAATATTATTTTTGTGTTCTATGAAAATTTTTGTTGCTCCATATAGACCAAATTATAAAGAGCCCCTCCCCCTCCCCCTCCCCAGTCAATGGTGTCCCGCTTTACCAATGTGAAAATCTGGTCACCTTAGTGATATCTCAAAGTGGTTTTGATTTGAATTTCTCTGACAATCAGGGACAATGAGCATTTCTTCATGTGCTTTTTGGTCATTTGTCTGTTGCCTTCAGACAAGTTTCTGTTCAAGTCTCTTGCCCACTTATAAATGGGGTTGTTTACTCTTTTCTTGTTTAAGTTGAGTTCTCTGTAGATTCTAGTTATTAGGCCTTTCTCAAATTCACAACATGCAAAAATATTCTTCCATTCCAAAGGCTGTCTGTTTGCTTTACTGGTAGTGCCCTTAGCTGTGCAGAAGCTTTTTAGTTTGATCAAATCTCAGTTAACTTGACCCTACAACAAATGGACTTAATGGACATACATAGATTATTTCATCCCAATAAAATTGAATACATACTCTTCTCATCAGCCCACGGATCATCCTCCAAAATTGATCATGTCTTAGGACACAAGTGTAACCTTAACAAATTTAGAAGAATAGAAATTATTCTTTGTATCTTCCCTGACCATACGGAATAAAAGTTGAATTCAACGGCAATAGAAATCTCATACTCAAAGTCATGAAAACTAAATAATTTCCATTAAAAAGAAATGCTTCTGGTGAAATAAACTAAGACAATCTTTGGAGTTATGACATTTTGTTTTTTATCTTCTAGGAGTCATTGTCTTTCATAGTCTGATATCTAGTGTCTTGGGGCATAAGTGTGTATGTGCGTTTGTATCTGTGTGTGCCTATGTGTATTTGTGATGTATCTAATCTTTCTATATATCTATAACTATTACCTTGTGATCTATCAGACAGAATAGAAAAGGGAGGTAAGGAATGGGGAGAAAGAGAGGAGAGAAAGAAAGAGTATAAGGAAGGGAGGGAAAGAACAAGAGGGGAAATGTTTAAAGTCTAATTATCTCTATGTTTTAATCCAGAGGCATGAATTTTTTTTACCTGATAGGTATTGTCACTCATCTTTCCTGGACAATAAGCTACAATTCTTCCTTCCAGGAGACTTGGCATTGCCATTCTAAACTTTGAAGAAGAGACACTTTCATGCCTCAGTAATAATTTGCTTTCTTTAAATCAATATAAAGGACAAAATAGAATATGATAGTTATATCTTCCAAAAAGATCTTGTATTATAGGACTGGAACTTCACTGATGACTGGTCTTTGTTGTAGTTCTTTTAAAATTGTTTTACTGCAGAAAAAGAAATTACAACTTTCCTCTTTCGTTTGCAAGCTCTTTTATCTTTTCTTTCCCCACATTGTTATTCTGAGTATTCCTAGTGGTAATATCATTGCTACTGTCGCTATTTGAATTGTAGCTTATTTTTTCTTAGCTTATGTGCAACACAGTAATGTTAGCTTGCATATGTAGTGCTGTGTTTTATAAAAATTAATTTCTTTTATGTATAGGGCAATTCTGTTAGGTCCTAGTGTTATCTCCAGTTTACAGTCAAGGTACCTGTGTTTATGTGATTGGATAGTTAAGGGAAAAAATGTAGACTGTGAAAGTACATGTAAAAATAAAAAATTTAAATATATTTGATACCCTACATTGGGAGCAATTATAAGTGTTAGTAGACTTGATTATATAAATATCCAAACACTAATAGCTGTATAGAGAGAGTCCAAATGAGAAGAATTTGAAAAAAATGAAACAATTTTTAAAAATGGAGTAACTGTAAATTGGTATAGTAGGAGTGCTACAGAGTTTTAAAGTAGTTGGTGCCTATTGTATTTTATAAAATATAATTTTTGAATATATACAAAAATTAAAAAATAATAATCTGAATATAATACAAGATTCATACCATGTATTATGCTATTAGTTGACTGAGTGATACATATTACAAGATACATTGACAATTTGAATGGGAAAAAATTACCTGTGCTCTTTGTTTTCCTTGTTCAATCATTTTTGACTTAACGGGCATGTGTGTGTGCTATTCTCAGTTGTTATTTTATTCTTGATAATTTTAAGTCAAAACTCATTTTTAGAATTTGATATAATTCATGGAACTTATCTTTTACATAAGTGCACAAAACTTTATTTGTAATTACCAGAGTTTCACAAAATCTTAGAAGCTCCTTCAAATATTCCAGACAACTCCATATTCCATGTAAAATATACTTTCTATCTTTATTCTATTTCTTAATAGCTCTTTTAAAAATCAAGATAAACCTAGATGTATTATATAAGGTGGAAATAAAAAAAATAAAAACTAAAGGAATGCCCAAGAAGCTGGGTGGGTGGGTGGAATGATGGTAAGCCTGGTTTATATCAGCGACAGTTAGTGATTACCATTAAGTAAGTATACTAAACTTGTCTTTGGATCCATTGATACATGAAAACAAGAATTGGGTTAAGTTTATTACATATTTGTGTTGAATAAAGACAAAAATTCCTGGAAGTGATATTTGTAAAACAATGCAAAGAAGAGTGAGGAACACCCTTTCAGAAGATTATAATTATTAATGACTGAGTAACTGGGTAAGGAAAATGCTGTTCTTCCTGGAAGCAAGAAAAAGACCTAATTCACTGGTCTTAAAACTTCTACAAAGTTTGACTTCTACAGGGACTTATTTTATCAGAGTCAGGGGAGAATCTTAAAAGATAAGTGAATACTTCTCATTAACAGACTTTTTCTGATATTCAGATTAATTAAGAATAAGGGGTTATCCAGGAATCAGTATTAAAAACAAAGCAAAACAAAACTTCCCAGATGACTCTGAGGTATGGGAAATTTGGCAAATACTGACCTAATTGACCTCCAGGGCCTTTTTTATTTTTCAAAAAGAAGACCACACATTTTAATATATTTTTTTCTAATTTGATTTCTTGGTTTTAAAAATAAAACCAAGAAACTTTCTTGGTTTTAAGAATAACTATCTGGCTAGATCAAAGAACTTAGGATTTATGACAGAGAGAATATAGGAAAAATCCTTAGTTTTGACTTTGACTTATAAATAATAATATTTTCTGGAGGGTCAATCTGAAGCCCTAGTTTGAGAGTCTCTTTTGGTTCTAATAAGGAAGATATATAGAAGGCTTATAAATAAATAGGTCTTCTTGTTTTTTGTACTCAGACAATTTAGTAAGTCTGTTTATACTGTGAAATAATTTTTTGTAATTAACTACACTTTCCCCAAAGCTTCCTTTAAAATACAATATGCTTTTAAACTCCTTCAGTGAGACTTCCTTCGGAATAAGCTGGATCTCAAGAAAGGTACCTGGTTTTTAAAAATTATCAATTTTTCTGAAGATAGTTTTGAAACTTAGGGAAACTTTCTCCTTTTTTTCCTGCTAATTCTCTCATATATCCATTATTTATTAAGTACTTTCTATTTTCCAGATGCTACATATTTCATTTAACTTATATATGTGTCATTTAATTTTATCTCAAAATTATCGCAAAAATAATCTCATGGAGCAGACATTCTAAACCATATTTTGCTGATGGGCACACAGAGGATCATTGAATTTGAACAATCTGTTCAAGATTATTCAGCCAGTGAGTTGCAGAGTGCAGATTAAAAGCCAGATTTATGTGAATTAAAATAGCATGCATTTAACCAATAAAACATTTTGACTTCCTAAGTATCACGATAGAAGCTAAATCAGTTTAACTTCTTCTGACTAACTTGTAGTTTAAATTTTAAAATAAGTTCCAAACAAAAAGATTAACTTCAAATATGATAATAAATTTCTTGAAACAACTTCTTTTGTTTGTTCAGAAACTAAATATAGTAATGGAACTATGTAATATAAGAAAATCTCTCTTTTAAACTTGAATTAACTTTCCCTATATATTAAAATGGATTGACGTTTTATCTATATACCTCTTTAGCATTTGATATTAGGGTTTAATAGCTAGAAAAGAACAAAAAGCAGAATCTATGCAACACAGAATTCCCCCCTTATTTATTTGCAGTAATGTTTTGTGTTTTATTAACAATATATAGGGACAAAAATTCTTATTGAGAAGTTAATCTTATACTTCACCCAGAGTGATTCTACATAATAAAATAATTCATATGTCTAACACAGTAAAAAGAAAAAAAATGTACTGCAGTTTGGCTGCCAAAAGGAAGGCCACTAGCATTTAGAGTTTAGTAGTAAATGAAACAGGAGCTAGGAGTTGAACAGTATTCGGTTACTGTAGGGGTGAGGGCTTGACTAATCACCTTGGATGACCTTTTTCAAGACTGGTTTTTCATTCTCCCTTATCAAACTGTAGCTTTCTGTTTCCTAATATCTTTTATATAGTTGAAGGTTTTAAAAGATCCACATTAAATTCAGCTTGTGGTGGGGAAAGGAACCTGTCAATGTTTTCACCCAATTTTCCATTCCTAAGGCACAAAGAACTTTATGTGTTTGCTTGTTTACTTATTTATGTGATGAAGGTTTATGTTTTCAAGATGTTTGAGTCTTTGTAATTTTCATATCATCCTGACAATCTAATAAAGTAGATAACTATTAGTACCTCAGAAGAGGAGGACTTTTGAGGCATTGAAAGTGTAGGTAGTTGTCTTAGATTTTTTTGAACTGAAAGAGATAAACTGTGGACTCAGTTCATCTGACTCCACAGCTCTTGACAAATGACCTAAGAAGACTGAAACCTCATTACCTGAAACATTCTTTGCCTAGCCACATTTCTCATATAATATAGAAACTAAATATATCAGGAAAACACCTAGACAACCTTATTTTGCTGTACTTTGGGTGCTTTTGAGTGTGGAACTATTCCATCAGATGCACTGCCAAGAAAATCCCAATCGGTGTCGGCAGTTTAATTTTTTCACTGGGAACTTCAGGGCCCAAAAGTTGATCAGGCTTTTCACAGACTTCATGCCAATCCCTTCGTTTTCTCAGGTGTAAGCTATGAAGAGTGAGCAGAATAGAAATTACTCAGAGGTGACAGAGTTTATTCTTTTGGGCTTCAGATCCTCTCCAGAAGTACAGATACTTTTATTCTTACTGTTCTTTCTTCTCTACGTGGTCATCGTGGTGGGAAATGCCAGCATGTTAGTTGTCATTAAAATAGACAGCAGACTTCACACGCCTATGTATTTCTTTCTCAGAAATTTGTCTTATTTAGACCTCTGCTACTCCACAGTCATTGCACCCAAAACTCTGGCTACTTTCTTGTCCAAGGAAAAGAAAATTTCTTACAATGGCTGTGCAACACAGTTCTTTTTCTTTGCTCTCTTCGTTGGGACCGAAGGTGTCCTTCTGGCTGTGATGGCCTACGATCGCTTCTCAGCCATTTGCTCGCCTTTCCTCTACCCTGTGCGCATGTCGCAGCCGGCTTGTGTTGGTCTGGTGGCCGGCTCCTACATCTGCGGATGCATCAACTCCACGATACAAACAGGCTTCACCTTCAGTTTGCGCTTCTGTGGCGAAAACAGACTGGACCACTTTTTCTGTGATGTCCCAGCCCTGATCAAGATCTCCTGTGTGGACACCTTCGTGAATGAGATTGTGCTGTTTATTCTCTCTGCCCTCATCATTTTCACCACCGTATCTGTCATTCTGGTGTCCTACGCTTACATCCTCTCCACTGTCCTGAAGATCCCCTCTGTGCAGGGCAGAAGTAAGGCCTTCTCCACCTGCAGCTCTCACATCGCGGTGGTGAGTTTGTTCTATGGTACCGTGTTCTTCATGTACGCCCAACCAGGGGCCCTCTCCTCGCCAGAGAAAAGCAAGATTATAGCTGTATTCTATACTCTTGTCATCCCTATGTTAAATCCTCTGATTTACAGTCTAAGAAATAAAGACGTGAAAAATGCTTTACAAAGGATAATGATGAAAAAAATGTCTTTTCATTGAGCTCTAGCTGTTGATAAAACTGTAAAATCAGCTAAATGCATACTGTCAATAATTTCTTATAGAATAGTTTCATAGAGAGACATCTAAAAGTTTGGGAGATTAACGTTTATTTGCACTTTTATCATCAATAGGTCTTTTAAAAATACATTAAAAATTAATGTAGATTTTCAAGTGTCTACATACTTATTTTATGGCGTTATAACTATGTATTACATAGCTTTGCTATTTTTTTAGCTTCTTTTTTTCTTTTTTTAGATTAAATCATAGCTGTGTACATTAATGCAATCATGGGGTACAATGTGCTGGTTTTATACACAATTTGAAATATTTTCATCAAACTGGTTAACATAGCCTTCAAGGCATTTTCTTAGTTATTGTTTATTTGTCTTAGTTAAGACATTTATATTCTACACTTACTAAATTTCACATGTACCCTTGTAAGATGCACTGTAGGTGTGGTCCCACCGATTACCTTCTCATCACCCATCCTCCCCCACGTTCCCTCCTCCCTCTTCCCTTTCCCCTCTTTCCTGGGCTATAATTGGGTTATAGCTTTCATATGAAAACTATAAATTGGTTTCATAGTAGGGCTGAGTACATTGGATACTTTTTCTTCCGTTCTTGAAATACTTTGCTAAGAATATGTTCCAGCTCCATCTATGTAAACAGGAAAGAGGTAAAGTCTCCATCTTTCTTTAAGGCTGCATAAGATTCCATGATATACATATACCACAATTTATTAATCCATTCAAGGGTCAATGCGCACTTGGGAGCTTTGTTATTCTTGTTTCATTTGGCTTAGTTGCATTCAAAACTGTAGCTAAAATACAGTACTACCAGTAGACTATATTAGCATACACATTAAATTTATTAACACGTCGTATATACATATGGACATCGACATGTTCATCGATCTATTGGGAAGGGAAAAATAGAGATACACGTGACTCAATGTTTTGTCTTCTTTGTTTTTCCAGATCATAACCAAGTTGGCCATTAATCAATCTTAGTAAATGAGAAGCGTTATGGTAACATATATTACCAGCATTAACATGTCAAAATACAAGGGATTAGTGGCATGTTATGCCATTAATATTGTTAAATCATCCAGAATATTAATGATTTCATGCAGAAGGAAAATAAATAAATAAATGTCATATAGTTGCTATAAAACTCTTTTGTCATGGGGATTGTAATAATAAATATTTGGTGAATTATCAGTATATGTTTATTGAACTTATTGGTTTCTATTTATGTTCTTGTGTCATTTTTGCATGTTATATATTGATATAAAAATCTCTATTTTTTCTATAATTGAAAAATTATTTCCATGGATAAAATATTTGCTTAAGTATTAATAATAAAACATATTAATATCATAACCTAAAAGAATCAAATAATAATATCTAATAGGATTATATAATAAAATGCTATACATTAAATATGTTCTTATAGCCAAGCAATAATTCAATTCTTTCTGTATCTGTGGTTATGTGTACTTTTAATGCTGAAAATTTTTTCTTATTTTTATCTGTTAATTAAACTTGCCAAGGGTTTGACTTTATACCATTATAATTTTGAGTTTCATATAATTGTCTTTAAGGTATCTTATAACGTGATGTTATAGTTATTAGATAGTTTGTGTTTTTGTTTGGTTTTGCTTAAGAATATTCAAAATATTGCAAGTAAATTAACACATCCATTAAATTTGTTAATATGATATCTGCATATACTTCTGCATATTGATATAATTATTTTATTTTTCTAAGATCATGTTTTATTAGCTTTCTTTTTTCTGCATTTGTATGTTGAATATTTTTATTTCAATGAGTTACATTTATAACTTTTGTATGATTTTGAATGTAATTTATTTTTATTTTCATTATTTTATAAATATTTTACTTTAATTTTAATGTTTGCTTTTACCTGTAAGTTATTCAGTTAAGGCTTCTTATTTAGACAATATCTTTTTATTGTTGATTTCTAGTTTTATTATTTTGGTTTTTTTTTTTTTTTGTAGTTTTTGGCCGGGGCTGGGTTTGAACCCGCCACCTCCAGCATATGGGGCTGGCACCCTACTCCACCTCTAGTTTTATTATCTTAAGTTCAGAAAATTTATACTCAAAAATTATTTTGGGTGGGACTTATAATGCTTGCTATAAGATAGTACATTTTGAAAATATACCATAAATTTATGCATAGAGTAGCTAGTCTCATATGTATTATCAATTGGAAATCCACAATGTATTAAATGTAATAAAAGTTGATTACTGTGGGTGAGTTGTAGTTATGCCAGGTTTAATGTTACAAAACGCAGTCACATTAATCATATTAACTGATTAAAACATTTAACAAGTTATTATCTCTGAAGTTGTAGGATAACATGATAAATTTTAATACCATCCAAAAATTTTAGTAACCTTATAAAATAATTAAACTTCATCACCTGGTAAAATTTATGTATATGGCTGGGTATGCTGGTGCACACCTGTAATCCCAGCACTCTGAGAGGCTGAAGCAGGTGGATTGCTTGAGCTCATGAGTTTGAGACCAGCCAGAGCAAGAGAGAAAGAGATTCATCTCTAAACAAACAAACAAACAAACAAAATAGCTGGGCACTGGGGCAGGTGCCTGTAGTCCCAGCTACTTGGGAGGTTGAGGCAAGGGATCACTTGAGCCCAAGAGTTTGAGGGTACTGTGAGCTATGATGCCATGGAACTCTACCAGGGGCAAGAAAGTGAGACTCTTTCTCAAAAAAATAAAAAATTTATGTATACAAACTTAATGAACATAAATTGTAAATGAGAAAATATTAGATATATTTTCTTTAAAATACAGTAGAAGACAAAATGTCCATTATCTTTGATGTAGTTCAGCATTCTGTCAGATGTCTAGCCAGTGTAATAGGAAAATAAATAAAAATTAAAAATATAAATGATAAAATGTGGTATTAAACTTATTTATATGATTATTATGCAATACCTCTAACTAAAGTAAACACAACAAAAATAAAAATAATTAGGCATGTATACATATGCAATCAAACTATATTAAATGATAATAACTGACTTATTGAGAATCAGAATGTTACCTTGGGTTGGAGAATACAGGTGTATGAGATGGGAGGGAAACATAGGATTATTATCAATTATGTTTAATGTTCACATGTGGCCCAAAGATGATAATGGGGGAGGAACACAGATTATTATTAATTTCTTTCTGTATTCTTGAAATATAAGTGTATTCAAACTATCATGTAGTATCATTCTGTGTGTCCTTAACGGTTTTCCTCAGAATTCTACCTACTATATTCTTATAATAATATTTTTGCTTCTGCTTTGTTGTTAACATTTTGTTTTCTTTCAAACATTTGTAACCATCTTTATTTTCAATGTTTGGTTAACTATTTTTCTTCCCTCCAAAGTGAATAATTATTCCTATTGCTCCATATCCTCACCAGCATTTGGTATTGTTAGGGTTTTGCATGGAGCATCTTTTTATATGTTTGATTGCCATCTATTTATCTTTTTTTGGTGAAGCATCTCTTAAATTCTTTGGCCTATTATTCAATTGAGTTATTTGCTTTGTTATTGTTAAGTTTTAAGAGTTTCTTGTATATTTTGACAAATCATTTACCATATATGACTTTTACAAACATTTTCTCCTAGCCTGTGGCTTGTTTTTTCTTTCTACTAAATGTTTTTAGTGTATAGCGCTTACGTATTTGTCATATTTATCACTCAATAGTTAACATTTTGATGTCGTCAAATAGAATATTTTTAGAAGAACACAGTTATACTCGCATTCCTCCAGACCTGAAATAGAAGTAATATATCTCAACTCATTATGAGGCCAACGTTACTTTGTCAGACTATGCATCTCTCATGAACACAGATCAAAAATTCTTCATCAAATTTTAGAAAATGAAATCCACTAATATAAAAAAGATACATCGGCATTACCAAATTATATAATTCAACGTAATTCACAGGACCACACTGGATTAAAAATATTTACCTTTTTCTAAGGAGGAGTTGGTAAATATCAATGTGATATTTGTAATGAACCATAAGATGACATCCCTTTGTTGGAGTGGGAAGTGGTAATGAATAGAGAGCTTCTATACAATTCCTGCCCTTTTAACCACATTGTATCAAAGGAGAAATACATTGATAGCTTATTTAGGTCAGATTTACTTTGTGCTTTATAAACTCATAACTCTCAAGAGCCACACTTACAAAGATGCTACTTCTGCCTGACTTCTACATCCACATCTTGATGCTGGATGAATTCTTCTCCTATACCCCAGAAGACAAGAATTAATTTCACAGAAAGTATAAAACAGAGTTTCTAGACTTGGAGACCCAATGTACAGATGAGTGGTTTCATACCCAAACTAAGCAACTAAATAGCGTATTCTAAACATACCTATGATCTCCCAGGACTCCTCTCCCATTTGTCTATTAGAATCTTGGCTGTCAGAATCATGAGTTCTCATCCTTCAGGAACTCATATTTCTCAAAGGAAAGATTTAAATATACTGAAATTGAGAACTTAACAATAAATAATACTGATATTACAAAAGTCTGTTTTCTTTATGTTTGAAGGATATTTTCACTGGATGCAGAATTTGGCATTTGACAGTTCTTTTCCCTTTCAGCAGTTTAAAAATGTTACTTCATTGCTGCCTTGCATGTGTTGTTTCTGATAAGGAGTCTTCAGTAATTCCTACTCTTTCTCTTCTTATTTCAGTAGATAATGCCTTTTTCCACTTCTCTGTCTGCTTCATGATTTTCTTTTTGTCTCTGATTTTAAGTAGTTCGAATACAATATTTCTAAGTGTGGTATATTTTGGTGTTTACCATGGTTGCTGTTCTTTGAGCTTCATGGTTTATGGTATAGCGTGTTATTTATATTTAAAAAATTCTTAGTAATTAAATATTAGTGGCAGGGCACAGTGGCTCATATCTGTAATCCTAGCACTTTGGGAGGCTGAGGTA